CCCTGTGGAACGCCCTCCCAGCAGATGTCAAGGCAATAAACAACTATTTTACTTTTAAAAGACATCTGAATGTGGCCCTGTTTAGGGAAGTTCTTAATGTCTGACGCTGTATAGTTTTTGATATTTGGTAGGAAGCTACCCAGGGTGGCTGGGGAGACCCAGTCAGATGGGTGGGGTATAAATAATAAATAATAAATTATTATTATTATTATTATTATTATTATAAGCAACTTCACAAGGTTGTTGTAAGAGGGATAAAGGGAGGCATGGACATACTGTGGTACCTCGAGTTACAAACGCCTCAGGTTACAAACTCCTCTAACCTGGAAGAGTGACCTTGAGTTGAGAACTTTGCCCCAGGATGAGAACGGAAATTGTGTGCCGGCAGCACAACGGCAGCAAGAGGCCCCATTAGCGAAAGCACGCCTCTAAGACCAGTTTCAGGTTAAGAATGGCTCTCCGGAACGAATTAAGTTCGTAACTAGAGGTACCACTGTATTTAGAAACTGGCAGCTTGAAGCTGAGACCCCTCTGAGGAGGCTGCTTTGCAATGGTGGCGTGTGAGCCAAGCCATTCACTTGCCTGAATTGCCTCACAACCGTGAATGAGGTGGTTTTCTCCATCCTATTATGGACTTGTTTTTTGCGTTTAACTGGAGAAAACTAATTTCAGCATACAGTGGTACCTCGGGTTAAGAACTTAATTCGTTCTGGAGATCCGCTCTTAACCTGAAACTGTTCTTAACCTGAGGAACCACTTTAGCTAATGGGGCCTCCTGCTGCCACAGCGCCACCGCCGCGTGATTTCTGTTCCCATCCTGAAGCAAAGTTCTTAACCCGAGGTACTATTTCTGGGTTAGCAGAGTCTGTAACCTGAAGCATCTGTAACCTGAAGCGTCTGTAACCTGAAGCATCTGTAACCTGAAGCGTCTGTAACCCGAGGTACCACTGTACACAGAAAAGCCTGCCACTGTGGAAAGCAATTTAAACCAGCCCCATTTGACAGACATACACTCTCTGTTGGCCTTCAGACCCACAGTTTACATGCACAGGGTCCACTTTCATTATAACGTTTCATAGAAGGTTGTGTTGTGCCAAACTCCAGATATTCCTTCATGGAAACCTCACAATTTCTTCCTAGTCCTTGGGCATTTTCTCTTTGCCTCTCTGCCCCGAACCTATTCTCCTGCATCTTATTTTCCTTTTTTCCTGTCCTTGTTACTTGAACATCTTCACTCAAGTCCATTAATACCAATACATTTCCTGCTCAACCAATGCTAATCCCAATGACTTCTCAAGCGAATATTAATTTCCTTTAGCTTGCTCTTCCTTATTTTTCCATTTCTGCTTGATCCAGCCATGCAAATATCAATCACTTGAAGAAAAAAAACCCACTTCACTAAATTTACAAAATTTGCACCCAAAGTTTGGCCCAGTCTTATCACGTTTGAACACTATATGCTTTTGGCAAACCTGTAAGTTTTTAAAGGCGCTTTTCATCATAAACATCAAACTTGGGGGGGGGGGGGGATATGTCCAACTTACTTTGGATGTGTATATTCATCTATGAGGTGAACTTTTTCCACTACATCTCCTCCAATGGTTCGAACTAAATCATAGAAGTCATTTTCGGAGTATTTTTCAGAGGGCAGCCAGAAAGAGATATTGTTGATCACAGGAGGATATTTGCTGAGAGGCTAAAAAGCAACAACAAAAAGGTAATATTGCAGTTATGAAACAGCACTGAAGTGAGTTTTCCAACGGTGTAATACCGTTAATTGATTTCACATTCTATGGTAATTGTATGGAGGACAGTTTCTCAAACAGTATATAAGGACATGAGCAGACCAGTACAATTACAGAGCATTTTCTACAAAAACAGAAAAAATAGCTCTTTACTCACAGATACTTTTTCACCTAGCTCTGCCACAACTCAAGTCAGCTCATGTGTCCTTACATACTGTTTGAGAGAAAGTCCTCCATAAATATTTGCTATGGTCATGGCAGGCAGCCATGGGTGCGAATGTGTGTTTCAATGACTCTTAAGTTTAATATGCATTTTCAGGTCTTTGTGTGATAGGTGCCGAAATGGAAATCTGCGGCACTCTCTGAAGAGAATGTATATCACCTCACTGAAAATTATGCAGAGTTCACTGGCGGCATTAAAAACAGATGAACATCTAGACATGAAAATTTAATGGGCAGATCAGTCATCCACACAACTTTTCTGAAAAACAGAATATATCTACACACAGAGGCACTCTCTTGTGTGAACTCTTTTGCAAGTGCACATGTGAGCTCTCAATGTCATTACTGGAAATGGCATAGGATCACACCCTTCGGCCAGGTTACAAAAAAAGAGCTTTGCCTCTTGATTCTACTAGAGAGGCCATCTGCTGCTGAAGAGACTAGCTTGCATTTAGATGGCACCCAGGCTTGTCTCTTTGACAGCAGAAAAGGAAATGCTTCAGTGGAACCAGAAAGCAAAGCTCAGGCTGTGCACATAGCTCTCTCCCATGACACTTTTCTCTTCATGCCAGGTCCCCCCACAAACCACAATTCACTTATATATTTATTTGTTTATTTAAAAATACCTATAACCCTCCCTACATCTATAGATACAAGGACAGGGTGCAAAACATAAAGCAAACAACTATACAACAAGCAACTGTAAAACAATAAAAACAAATAAAGGCAGTTAAGACAACAAAACAACTTTCCTCCAGTCTTAAGAGTAAAAACACAGAAGGGGTTTTGCCAAACAATTTTTACTGATTTTGCAATAATATAAGTAAATAAACATGGTAACTTTCATACAAAGAAAAAAATGTGAACATGCCCCTTCTCCTCTTGCTAGAAGCTTAGTAAGTATTCAGATTCTGGTTTTTTTTATCTTCACTTATGTTTGCCTACTGTGATGGGAAGATGAGCTGCTTGTGCGTAAAATCGTATTCCCTCAGAGTTTGTTCAAGTCCACAAACCTCTGTCTGTGACTGAGCCCCTCTGACATGGCTCCTCTAGTCACTAGAAGATTCCGACAGTGGTTGCTTTCGTAATCGCTTCCAACATAAAAGCTCCTTAACGGAAACACGTCTTCTGGACTCTCTGCGTGACAGTTTCCGGCGAGGAGTGGGTGTCCCTACAGGAGGTCCGGAAACCTCACCACTGTTTTCGCTGGAAGTATCTCTGAGCCATCCCCCAGCTCCCTTTCCCTC